CGGGCACCTTCACTGAATAAGACATCATGCTCATCCACCTATAAAATTCTATGATTCTTAATGGTGTCAATGGAAAAATATCAGAGCAAAGTAAAACAGTCTGCTGCTTGTGACAAGGTTGAAAAGAAAACCCAAATAGCCAAATGCATTACATCATCTCAACGAACGATGTTTGTAAATACACAAAGTGTTTAATTTTGAGAGACTTGTGAGAAATCCTTTACCAAAAAGAAACTGGCAGATACAGTAATTAACACCTATCAGTCCTGAACCTTCCAAAAAATAAACATGTAAAATCACTTTGCACCTTAGTCAAATGGCATACTTCTAGAGAGGAATCTGGGAAAATCAAAGTTATTAACACTCCCTATGGCAACAGTTTAAGAATAGCATGTGTAAAAAGAAAAGAATGACATATCTGGTTAAAACTGCAGGGGAGATTCCAGGAGCAGAATGCAGTGCATCTGGACAGGACACAGAGGCCAGTGGCCTATTGTTTACAAAAACAGGCCGGGATTATAAACACTGACAAGAAGCCAAGACCTCAATTATAACTCACAACCACACCTCTCTCAATCCCAGTTCAACTAAAGCTATCAATCAGTCAACTCCCCCATCTCTGTAATAAACCTACCAATATTTGCAGCCAAGTGGATAGAAGGTCCCTTAGGGCACCTCCAGCATTGACCAAACTGATGACATAAAAAATATTCTGTAGCACAATGGAAACTCTTAAACTACCTTCCAACCTTCCAAGAGATAAGGGAAGCTGCCATTTCAAACTCTACCCCTGTCCCCACCCCAGGCAATCATTAGAGAGAAGACATGGCCCTTCCCAAGTCCTCTATGATAGGAAAAGGTCTCCTTGCTCTGGTGCAGGGAAAGAAGGAGGGGCCCCTCCCTCTGTACTCTGAAACAAAGGAAAACCCAGAGCTCCAACCATGTGGTGTAACATTCAAGGCCACCCACCTCTCTCACTCCCCAGCTAAGGTCTCAATGGGCTGGAGCCACATGGTTCTTACCAGTGACTGACCAAGAAGGGACAGTGCCCTGCACAAACACATGCTGGGGCTCTTTAACAGGCAGGAACCCTTCCTAGGGGAATTGCTGGTTAAGAAAAGGCTATCTGAGTACAAGTTCTAATTCACAAGCCAAGTCATGCAGTTGACTAGATGAGAAGACAGGTCACTTGGTTTCTCCAGTCCACATTTGCTTTACCCTTCACATTTTTGCAGAGGGAAATAGGGCTTTAAAAGCATGCATTCTGGAGCAGAGGGCGACAGCACAGAAGGGTTAAACAATTATGTCTTCTCATTTTCCAGAATCAGCACCACCCAGAAACCCTAATATCCCAACTCTATTCAGATTTAGGTGAGGGCGGAGACAGGGTGTGGGTGGCCTTATTCTTTCTGTTCTCTGATCTCTGATGGTAAGCAGGCTGACCAGGGATCAGGCAAGCACAAGGTGCGCCCAAGGTGGCTATAGACTTTCAGTGTCCAATGCCATACGAAATGTCATGTTTTAATATAGTGTATCAGAAAAAAAACCCTGCCTCTCTCAGAGCTCTCCAAATGGTACACCTTCTCAAGGTTGCCTTTCTCTCTCTAGACTCGTCTTCAATCTCTGAAATAAATGTCCAAACACCTGTCAGATTTCAGTTGTCCTTCAAGGAAACCTGACCCAGACACCCAGAGGCAAATTGTGCCTTTCTCTCTCCAAGAACCTCTTGCCCCTCCCCCCACCCTGTCCACCTTGGGGAAAGGGCTGCCAAAATAATGGTCAGCCCTACAGAGACATTCTTAAAGCCCATTCTGAAAATTCTTTTCCAGCGCCCGTAGCTCCTGGCACTGCCCATCCTCCGAAGGTTCAGACCCACCTATGAAACCACCTTTGGGGTAGCTCAGTCTACCCCCACCTGCTCCGCCCAAAGAAATGAACAGCCTGCAAATCAGGGTGGAAATACATGCCCCACCAGTCCACAGAGCACTTGCAGTATGCTATTTTTCAAAGCCCTTACCTTTGACCTGAGTATCGTACTCTGCTATGATCTCCTTATCCTTTTTGAATTTGGCTGGAGACGTCATGTTTTCCTTCTTTCTTCCAAATTCGAATTGTGAATTGATAGATCCACGGGAAAAATCCAACCACCAAAATCAATACCTCCAAGACCGCTTCTCCCGAGGGCACAAGGGGCCCCCCGCGGTGGTCTCCAGCGCTCCGTGGAGCGCGGGCAGCGGGATGGGCAGGCGGCTACGGCGGGCACATGCAGACGGTGGGCGCTGGGGCCGGGTGCGGCAGTGGCTGGTTCCTGTGCTAGAACCGGAGCCGCAGCCTCAGCATTAGCCGGGAGAACTGCAGCGCCCGGAGGCTGGCCTGGGGTCTGACATCAACGACACAGGCGGGGAGTGGAAGTCCTTCCGCACAACATGATGTGGGGGTGCGGGGGTGTGGACGCGCCCAGCTGTGTCCCCGGGAGGGAGTGGGTGCGTATCGGGGTGCCGGGGGAGGGCTGGGCGTGCTTCGCGGTTTTTTGTCGTAGAGGCTCCAAGATGCTGCAAATCAAATCCCAAACGGGAGCCGCAGCAACGCAGACTGGATCGGAAGTCGTTTGCTCCGGTTCACTTGCCTGTAAATGCAGGAAAAGGGGGAGGGGGTGATCAGCCAGAGCGCAGATCCCAATCGCAGCGGGGGTGGGGTAGGGGACGTCTTTCCCAGCCCGGCCTGGGCCCATTCATCTCGGCCAAACGCCGCCCGGCCCGCAGAGCCAGGCGCTACGAGGTGGAGAGGAAGGAAGCTCCCTCTGGATTTTGTTTTAAGGCTGAAAGAAAACACTTTGGAGCAGCCGCCCGCGCGGGCTCCGGGCGGGGACTGCGGCGGGAACGCGGAGCTCCGGGCGGGGACTGCGGCACCTCGGCGGCCTCCCGAGCCCCGCCAGCCCCGCCAGCTCTGGGCAGCGGCCAGCCCGTGGGGGCCCTCGGGGCCCTGCCCCCGACGTGGCCCCTGACCCCCGGCTGGGGCACCTCCCTGGACATCAAAGAAGATCAAAGCCAGGGAGGGACAAGCCACCCGGGCACAACTTTTCTTCCCCTCCCGCCCCTCCTCCCAGTTGTTTTGTTTTGGGTTACTAGCTTCTCTTGGCAGCTAAATGTTGGGGCGGGTGGGGGGATCTGCAGGAAAAAGCCTGCTCGGCAAGGGACGCATCCAGGAAAACAATGTGGTCGGCAGAAGCAGGAAACGGGTTAGAGGATAGGGTCGGAGCCGGGAAAACAAGGGGCGGGGGGCGGAAGGCAGCCGTCGCCTCCCCCAAGCCAGGGACAAGAGTGACTCTAAATGTCACCCCCAATATTTTTTTGTCACCCAAGCCCAGGGAACCCGGATACCGCACCCAATCCTAGGCTGGGGGTGAGGGGAGGTCAGTGAGGGTCGCAGTCTCGACTCCTCGCATCAGGAGGTGCGGGAGCAGATCCTGCCCTGGCCAAGGCCCGGGAGGCGGGAGGGAAGCAGGCGGGAGCGCCGAGCCCGCGTCAAATTCCCCCGCGTGCCGCAGCGGCGACCCTCTCTCCGTGATGGCCCCTGCCCCTCTGGCCACCGGGAGGAGGAGACTCTTGCTAGTGTCTCCCACTTCCCTCAGCTGGAGGAAGGGCCACACGGAGGGAGGAAGAGAGGGAGCAGAGGCGGCGTGGTTCAGGCGGGCAGGAAGCGGGGAGGCGGGCGTGAGGTGGGGTCCTGAGGCTGGACGGGCGCCCGGGGACAACAGGAGCCGCACACGCTGGGCAGGCGGGAGAGGGCTGCCTCGCGGGTGAGGGGGAGCTGGGAGACTGTCGTGGGCCAAGACGTTACGTGACGCGCGAGGATGTTAGCAACTTTGGGGAGCAAAGCGCTGGTCTGGGAATGGGAGTGGGTGAAGAGAAGCCCACTGGGGCGGGCCGGGGGGTGGGACAGGGGAAGAGCCCCGGAAGCTGTGAGGAACACCCATCCTCCGGGTCCCAGGCTGTGACCCCGGGCTGACTGCCAGGGCTTGGGAAGAGGCCAGCCGAGGGTTACGCGCGACGCCGACGACGGCTGCCCCAAGGTGGACCGCAGAGGCCGAGTGCAGGGGAGCTGGGCAGGGGCTGGGTGCGGGTTGCGCTGCGGCGGTCTGTGAGGCGGTCTGTGAGCCCGGGCAGAGTCCCAGGCTGTGCGGTGATGGGCGGAGAGACGCGCGGTCCTGAGAAGTATTATGGGCTGTACTGGGAGATTTGGAGAGGGTCGGGAAGGGGGGCGATCTGAGGGACGGGGGGCGATCTGAGGGATTCCGGGCGGCACCGCTAAGGCGATGCCGCGAGCAGCATCCGCGCCCTCTCCTTCCCGCCCCAGCCCGGGTTTGTTCAGTCAGGGCTCCAGCCCGGCGGCCGGGAAGAAGAAAGGAGAGAAGGAAGGAGCCTTTACCTGGCTCTGACGCGACGGGTCCCAGGCCCCCGACTCCGATTCCCCGGATCTCCTCCCTCTCTTCCCCGCCACCCGCTTCTACGCAGATCGGTCCCCCTGTCCCTGAGGAGCCTCGGCCAACTCCGCAGGACCCCGCCGGGAAGCAAAACCCACCCCCTTGCCAATCACCGCCCGTTTTCTATCGACCGATGGGGCCTATAGCCAATAGAAATAGCTGATCCCGAGAGGCCAGGAATGAGGGGGAGGAGCTGGCAAAACTCGGAGGTGTGACTAGCACTGTCCAGGCGTGGTCACAGGTTAAGCTCCTCCCCTGGCTGTCGATCCCTAAAATAGAACTGATGGGCGGGATTAAGATGGAACCGACAACCAAACACAAACGCCTGTGCTAAGGCACAACCAATTGGACCGAGGTAGAGAGAAGGGGGGTGTTGCGGGGAATTTTAGCCAATAGAGAGTAGAGGCTGGCGGAGACTGTAGGACGTCTTCCAATAAGAAGCGCGAGGGGCGCGTCTTGCCACTTTCACCAGGGCGGGAAGAGGGTTTGCCGAAACCTCCCGAAGCCGGCCAATGAAATCGGAGGCGGAGCCAAGCTCGGCCAACCAGAAAGCCGAGCTGATCTCGGCACCGTTACTGGGGCGGGGCGTGAGGTCTCCACGCACTAAACTCTCGTCAGGGGAAGGCCCCGGGGCCTTCCAATGCGGGACTCGGGCGAACTCTAGTTCTCCCAATCCGTGCGCGGCGCTGGCAATTCAAACTGACAGCCGGTTGAAAGGCAGAGAAAGCGGAAGAGGGCGCAAAAAACGACGTGTTTGGTGACAGACCCCAGCGCCGACTGAGCCCCCAAAGCGACCTCCGCCCCTCCCCACCAACACCACCGCGCGCTCGGGAGCGGCCGCTGCGGGAGAGACCTGAGGGGACAGCGCGGGGCCCGAGGGAGAGCTGAGGGGAGGGAGGACGCGAGAGAAACGGCGCGAGCGCGAGCAGGCTGAGGGCCGGGGGCCGCCCCGAGAGGGGCCCGCGGACCAGCAGAGCGGAGGAAGGTCGCGGGAGAGAGCGGGGAGACTGAGGACAGCCAGGGGTCGTTCCGGTGGAAAAGCTGAGGGAGTTCCTGAATCCGGGGAAGAGGGGGCGTGGGTGGGGACGCCTAGTCCGCGGATCCGGGAGTGGAATTGAAGGAGGGGCTTAATGCCGGGAGAGGGACGTCCTAGGAGAAGTTTCCAATAAAAGACAACGGGAGAAGGCTGAGGGAATTGCTCTAGGGACGGGGGCTAAAGAGGAGGGGATCCTTTTAGACAGCAAAAAGGCAAAACTGTTGAGAAGTCCCCATCAAACTCCACTCCCTTCTCTGAAACGTTAAAAGGGAAACCAAGTTTGCTGCTCTCCCCTGTTGCTACTCAATAAATATTACTTTTACCCTTCCACGGGGGAAAAAAAGGAAAGAACTCTTTTCCTTCCCAATTTTAGGGCTTAGCAAAGCTTGAAGCCTCCTAACTTGGTTTTTAGCCTGGAGAAATCAAAGTAGAAGGACTATCGCTCTTGGTTCCTTTTTCAAAACCCCACGCTTCATCCTTCCTGGGACGCCATGTCTGCCAACAGTTGTAGTTTCAAGGACCGGTGCGTGTCCATCCTGTGTTGCAAATTCTGTAAACAAGTGCTCAGCTCTAGGGGAATGAAGGCTGTTTTGCTGGCTGATACTGAAATAGACCTTTTCTCTACAGACATCCCTCCTACCAAGTAAGTCACGCTGGAGGCGGGCAACAGTAGCCTTTAACTAAATGGGAAAAGTGTATAGCTTGGATCTCTGGGAGTCAACAACAAGGTTATTATCATTTTGGTGTTCCAGCCACTCCCAACAGTCTGATGATCCCCTTGGAATATATCTAAGTAAGCAGACTGTCTGGACCAAAGTCTGTGGTTTAGCTACAGTGGTCAGTCCTGATGCAATGCTTCTAGGTCACTTATGGTCACGTGACCACACATCCCTTAGGTTTGAGCCCTGGCTGGGTGCCCTGCCCAACCATCCTATTTTACTAAATCAAGTCCATGACTGGGATTCTTGGTAAATTCAGGAAAGATTTTTCTGTACTGTTGGAGAGGAGAGGTCGTTTAAGTTTTTCGTTTTTATCCGTAAAGTTTTACACCAAAAAAAAAAAAAAAACCAACATAGTTTTCTAACATTATTTGCAATTGGCATGCTGAGTCAAATCCATTATCCATCAAATTCAATATTCCTTCTCAAATCTTTCTGTTCCTCTCTGAGAGAAATACATTTATTTTTACAGGACGAAAAATAGATTTAGCCTTAAAATAATCTGTATCTCCTATAATGCCTGTTTGGAGTATTACACGTTTGTTTGCATAATTGAACCCTTTTAAAATCTATTTTCAGCCACCACCCACTTTCGGGTGTAGAGTCTTTAAGAATTTGCTACCTATTTGATATAATAGCCATTTTATTTTACTCTACACTTTTTTCTATCTCTAAAAGGTATTTTATCTTTCTATAGTCAATGTATATGTGCCCTACATGATTTCCAAGATTTATTTCTTTATTGAAATCTTATTATTAGAATGAAAGAAACTATCCAAAATATAAGTGGATAGCTATTCTTTAAGTCTTTGGACACAGAGCCAGAGGGAGCAGGCTAAAAACCATAATTTATTTAAAATAAATTCCATGTCTGGGCACAGTGGCTCACGCCTGTAATCTCAGCACTTTGGGAGGCCAAGGTGGGAGGATCTCTTGAGGCTAGCCTGAGCAACATAGCAAGACCCCCGTCTCCACAAAAAAAAAATTTTTTTTAATTAGCTAGGTGTGGTGGCCCACACCTGTAATTCCAGCAACTTGGGAGGCTGAGGCAGGAGAGTTGCTTGAGGAGTTTGAGGATGCAATGAGCTATGTTTGTACCACTGCACTGTAACTGGGGCAACAGAGCAAGACTCTGTCACCAAAAAAAATTTTTTAAAAAGAATTTCATCATAATCAGAGAAACTTTAAAAGTTTTAAAATATATCCAGGTAAAGCTCTGGACTCTTCCTCCCTTTAAATCTTTTCCAAATTGGTCTAAGTGTAGTCATGCCTATCAGCAAAGCCAAAGGTTCTCATGTATTGCAAATATAAATGGGTTGATATTATAAGTTTGTGAGTGTGTGCATGTGTGTTGCAAAAAAGGAAAAACACTAGAAAATAAATCATAGACTTACTGCTGCAAAGATTCTATGATTTATTGCACTTTTTTTAGTGCTTTTTTTCTTTTCTTTCTTTTTTTAAGATACAGGGTCTCCCTCTGTTGCCAGGACTGAAGTGCAGTGGGCTGATCATCATTCACTTAACCTCAAACTCCTGGGCTTAAGCAATCCTCCCACCTCAGCCTCCCAAGTAGCTGGGACTACAGGCCCACATTGTCACACCCAGCTGATTGTTAAAATTTTCTTTGTAGTGACAGAATCTTGTTATGTTGCCCAGGCTGGTCTCAAACTCCTGGCCTCAAGCCATCCCTACCCCTCACACAAAGTACTGGGGTTACAGGTGTAAGCCACCATACCCAGCCAATTCTTTTTAGTGGCACATACACACACAAATTTAAAACATTAACTCATTCATCTTTGCAATAGCTGTGGTAAGTAATAAGGTAGTCATAAGGAAGACTCAGGTAAACTATTAATATTATAGGTTAGATGACAGTCTAGAGTAGAATCAGGTTTTTCCTATTGTCTATTCCTTGTAGAGGTTATGAAAGCGATGGATTAATGTGCTAAACTGCAGCGGTCCCCAATCTTTTTGGCACCAGGGACCAGTTTCATGGAAGACAATGTTTAGAGGGGGCAGGGAGGGGAGAAGGGGGATGAGGGAATATGGGCGGAGCTCCGGCAAGACTGATCCCTGACCTGCTCTGGGGTTTGGGACCACAGTGCTAAAGTGTGAATCAATGAACAGTAGGTTTCTTTTTTTTTAATAGAAGTTTTCTCAGATGTTTGTGGTGAGCTCACAAATATTAACTGACTCTTACAATATATACTGTAGTTCTACATTAGTCTCTTTCAGCTCTTTGGATTTACAAAAGTTGTGCTAAATCACATTTAAAAGTACATTAAAAGTTTAGGTCCAGCGTGGTGCCTCACGCCTGTAATCCTAGCACTCTGGGAGGCCGAGGCGGGCGGATTGCTGTAGATCAGGAGTTCAAAACCAGCCTGAGCAGGACCTCGTCTCTACTAAAAATAGAAAGAAATTAATTGATCAACTAAAAATATATATAGAAAAAATTAGCTGGGCATAGTGGCGCATGCTTGTAGTCCCAACTACTCGGGAGGCTGAGACAGAAGGATTGCTTGAGCCCAGGAGTTTGAGGTTGCTGTGAGCTAGGCTGATGCCATGGCACTCACTCTAGCCTGGGCAACCAAGTGAGACTCTGTCTCAAAAAAAAAAAAAAAAACACTATAAAAAAAGTACATTTGATGATGAGGATGTGGAGAAATTAGAACCCTTTCACACTGCAGGAATGTAAAATGGTATAGTCACTATGGAAAACTGTATGGTAATTCCCCAAAAAATTAAATACAGAATTACCATATAATCCAGCAGTTCCACTTCTAGGTATTTATACAAAAGAATGCAAAGCAGAAACTTGAAGAGATATTTGCATATGCATGTTTTAACAGCATTAATCACAATGGCCCAGAAGTGGAAGCAATCCAAATGTCCATTAACTCCACAGATGAATGGATAAGCAAAGTATGGTATATACATATAATAGCCTTATAAAGCAAGGAAATCCTGTCACATGCTACAACATGGATGAACCTTGAGGACTTTATGCTAAGTGAAATAAGCCAGTCATAAAAAGACAAATACTGTATTCCACTTTTATGAAGTATCTAAATTAGTCAAATTCACTGAAAAAGAAAGTAGAATGGTAGTGGCTTGGGGCTGAGAGGAGGGGAAATGGGGAGTTGTTGTTTAATAAGTATAGAGCTTCAATTTTACAAAATGAAAAAGGCATGGAAATTCATTGCACAACAATGTGATTATATTTAACACTTCTGAACTGTACACTTAAAAATGAGTAAGTTGGTAAATTTTATCTTATTTTTTGGCCACAGTTAAATTTTTTTAAAAGCATATTTAACTGCCTTTATACTTTCTCTCTCCAGTGCAGTGGACTTCATTGGAAGATGCTATTTCACCAAAATCTGCAAATGTAAACTGAAGGACATCGCATGTTTAAAGTGGTAATTTGTAGTAATATTCTAGATAGCCTTGGGTTTAGAAGATGGATGTTGACATCAAAGCACAGAGATAGGTTCAATGGGCTGCAGTGAGAACTGATATAACCCATGCAATGAGCCATTGAAAAAATCATTTGTTACTTAGAGCTACTTTTTAAAAGGATCTTGTAATACTTCACATTTGTATATGATTTTACAATTTTCAAAGTGCATTCACAAGTATCTGCTTTAATTTTCAGAACAAGGCCATATAGTTTGGGGAGAATACTTTGATTTACAGTAGTACCTCTACCTTACTTTCTATGTGGTCTTGAGTAAAGTCCTTAAACCTCTAAACCTCTGAACCACTGTTTCTTTATTTAACTTCTATCTTATTAATATAATATCTCAATAAAATAGAAATTGTCTTTTTTATTTACCTTATAAAGTTGTAAATATCAAACGAATTATGAATGTTAAAAGGCTTAATAAACTAAATTACAACACAGATGACAGCCATTACTATAACCTTTTGAGAGGTAGATGAACGTGTGTTATTATTCCCATTTTAGGGAGAAAAAAGTTGAGATTTTCTCATTCAAATGGGGTTTGAATTATAAATTGTAATCCTAATCATTTAACTTAGCAAACTCTTCTTATGTGCTAATAATGACTAGTTGATTTCATTCATTCATTTATTCATTAAAGCTATATTTATATTGAGAACCTACGATATGCTAGTCAATATTATAGGGACTGGAAACACAGCAACAAACAAGATAAAGTCACTAGCCTTTGGACATTATATTCTAAGATGATCAATCAATAAGATATTTAAATAGGATATTTACTATGGTAGAAAGTACTTCTGAGGAAATAATAATAATAAATGATAAAGGATTATAGAAGTTGAGAAAGTAGGTGAGAGCTATTTTAGTTGTCATGGTCAGGAAAGCCTTCTCATAAAGAGTAAGAGGAAATAGCAAATGCAAAGAATTGATGGCAAGAAGCTTAACATGTTCAAGGAACAAAAGACTGATGGCTACTGTGCTTGAAATGTGAACATGGAGGGAAAATAGTATGAATAGTTTACATATGAACCCAGATAACCTAGAGCAGTGTTGTCCAATAGAAATGTGCAAGCCATATATGTAATTTAAATTGTTCTAGTAACAACATTTTAAAATTAAAACAAAATAGGCAAAATTAAGTTTAATCATATATTTTATTTAACCCAGTATGTCCAAAGTATTCTCAATTCAACATGCAACCAACATAAATTACTAATGTAAATTTCACATTCTATTTTTGGTATGAAAGGGTTTTTTATTTTCATTTTTGGTCAGTAGGAAGCCATTGAAGGGGTTTTAACAAGGTAGCAAAATGATCTGATGTAGCCCCGCTAGAATGTTCACTCCATGAGAACAAGGACTTGGCTTTGTCCACTGCTATATTCCTAGCACCTAGAACAATGCCTGGCATATAGTAGATGTTCAGTAAACATTGAGTGAGTAAACGAATGGATGAATGAATGAATATAGGGGATAATTAATGCCATAGAATTTACTCTTGCAATGTAGTCTTATAAATAACTGTCAGTCCTAGTCCAAGAACAACTTTTATTTTCATTTGTTTGCCTTTCAAGCAGGTTATGATTAGAAGACATATTTTAGGTGGGCTGGTACCTTTTATAGTAATCTTTATAGGGTCTCATAAAAGTGACTGACTCCCACATCTCACAGGGTGAAATGAGGCTATAATAAGAATGTTTATAACTCAAGGTATAAACAGTTCATGTTGCATTTTTTTTAAAAAAAGTACTAAAACATTCCCTGTAGGTTCACTCTATTTAATATGTAACTAGCTAATAAAAAAAGAAAATTGTGAAAGAGTGAGGTACTTATAATTAGCTAGATAATACTGAAGACAGTAAAACCTTTTGCAACTTTCTCTAGAGGCTGTAGATATTCTTTATTTCTGAATTCCTTCAAAAACACTGAAACTAAAATTAGAGCAGCCAGCTTGTGTTTGGTTTACAGGGACTCATGCTGTCTTCCTACTCCTCCATCTGTTGAAACAGTTTTTAGGTGCTGGGATGGAACTAGAACATGTAAGAACCCAACTTGCCACAGTTCTGAAATAGCAAAAACCTTTACCCACTGATCTGAGTTTATTTAATTTATTTTGTCTGTACTGCACATCAATTTGGGTACTTAATGGAACAAATCACAACCTGATGGCATCCAGAAGCTAGCTTCTAAAGGGAGAATGCATAAAACGATACTATAAAGAAATGCAAGAATATGTTAGTATTATTTCACTTAAAGACCATTTTCCCACTTAATGGTATAACTACAACCATTATCAGAATAACTCCCATCCCAAAGATCCCAGGAATGGAGGTTGTTTGGAGGAAATGAGATCTAAATTATATGGTCTGTGTATTTATATTAGCACGTAAAAATGCTTATCTGGCTCAGTATTACATGGTATATAACAGCATTTACTTTCTTTTTTAGTGGGAACATCGTAGGTTATCATGTGATTGTTCCATGTACTTCCTGCCTTCTTTCCTGCAACAATGGACACTTCTGGATGTTTCACAGCCAGGCCGTTTATGATATTAACAGACTAGACTCTACTGGTAAGAAGCAATAGATTTAGACATTCCTTTAACATTTCTCTATAAATACCTGAGTGGAACTCCCAGTAGATAATTTCAGGATTCCTTTAGACCTTCTTAGCTGGGTTGTATCAGCTACAGTGAAACTCCAATCCTTTTTTCCCAATCACATGAAAGTTATTAGGCAAAGTTCATTGTCATTTCTATATTCATCATTGTATTTTAGGGCCTCAAACTAACTAGATTTCTTGGTCTTTTAAAATTAATATCTTAATTGCTTAAAATTAATATTTAAATTGCTGTATTAATACATATTCTGACTCCAGAGAATTTTTTTGAAGATTTTTAGATTCGATAGTCAAATGTGTGTGTATGTGCACACATGCACATGTAAGAAAGGAAGGGAGGGCTAGGCAGGGTAGTAGGGTTGAGGGGAGGAGGAATAGGTAACCTCTATATGTGGTGATGCTTCAGGATAAAAACAAACATTTTGGCATCTATATTAATAAGTTATGTAGAATCTTAGTTGAGGGAAATACTTGGTACCAATATGTTATACAGGCATACCTTGGAGATATTATAAATTCAGTTCCAGACCATTGCAATAAAGCAAATATCATAAGATATTTTGGTCATAAGATTTTTTGGTTTCTCAGTGTGTATAATAGATATGTTTACATTATACTGTAGTCTGTTAAGTGTGCAATATCATTGTAACAATGTATATACCTTAATTTAAAATACTTTATTGCTAAAAAATGAAAACAGCCAGGCATGGTGACTCATCCAAATAATCCCAGCTACTTAGAAGGTTAAGGTGGGGTGGATCATTTCACTTGAGGCCAGTGACCTATGATCATGCCACTATAACCCAGCCTGGTACAGGCTAGACCCTGTCTCTTAAAAAAAATGCTAATAATCACCTGAGTCTTCAACAAATCAAAATCTTTTCCTGGTAGAGGGTCTTGCCTCTATGTTGATGGCTGCTGACTGATCACAGGGTGGTGGTTGCTGAAGGATGGAGTGTCTGCAACAACAATTTCTTAAAATAGGACAACAATGAAGTTTGCCACATAGGTTGACTCTTCCTTTCATGAAGGATTTCTCTGTAGTATGCAATGCTATTTTGATAGCATTTTACCCACAGTAGACATTCTTTAAAAATTGGAGACATTCCTTTAAAATCCTGCCACTGCCTTGTCAACTAAGTTTATGGAATATTCTAAATCCTTTGTCTTCATTTCAACAGTGTTCATAGCATCTTCACCAGGGGTAGATTCCATCTCAAGAAACCACTTTCTTCACACATCCATAAGAAGTAACTCCTCATCTGTTAAAGTTTAATCATGAGATTGCAGCAACTAAGACACATCCTTGGGTTCCAATTCAAATTCTAATTCTCCGTTTCTACCACATCTGCAGTTAATTCCTCCACTGAAGTCTTGAACCCCTCAAAGTCATCCATGAGTGTTGGAATTAACTTCTTTCAAACTCCATGAATCTTGATATTTTGACCTCCCCCCCAAATCACAAATGTGCATTTCCTGAAGCTTTTCAATTTACTTTACACAGATCCATCAGAGGAATTACAGTCTATGGCAGATATAGCCTTATGAAATGTATTTCTTAAGTAATAAAACTTGAAAGTCTAAATTACTCCTTGATCCATGGGCTTCAGAATGGACATTGTGTTAGCAGACATGAAAACAACATTCGTCTCCTTGTACATCTCCACCAGAATTCTTGGGTGACCAGGTACATTGTCAAAGAGCAGTAATACATTGAAAGGAATATTTTTTTCTGAGCAGTAGTTCTTAACAATGGGCTTAAAATATTTAGTAAACCATGTTGTAAACAGACACTATCATCCAGGCTCTGTTGTTCCATTGATAGAGTACAGGCAGAGTACATTTAGCATAATTGTTAAGGAGCTTAGGATTTTCAGAATGGTAAATTAATATTGGCTTTAACTTAAAGTCACCAGCTGCATTAGCCTCTAATAAGAAAGGCAGCTTGTCCTTTGAATTTTGAAGCCAGGTATGACTTCTCTCTAGCTATGAAAGTTGTATATGGTATCTTCTTCCAATAGAAGGTTGTTTTGTCTGCATTAAAAATCTGTTGCTTAGTGTAGCCACCTTCATCAATTTTCTTACCTAGATATTCTGAATAACTTGTTGCAGCTTCTATATCAGCACTTGCTGCTTCATTTGCACTTTTATAGAGATGGCTTCTTTCCTTAAACCTCATGAACCAACCTCTGCTAGTTTCCAACTTTTCTTCTGTAGTTTCCTTGACTTTCTTAGCCTTCATAGAATTGAAGAGAGTTAGGACCTTGCTCTGGAGTAGGCTTTGGCTTAAGAGAATGTCATGGTTGGTTTTGATCATCTATCTGGACCACTAAAACTTTCTCCATGTAAGCAATAAGGCTGTTTTGCTTTCTTCTTTGTGTGTTCACTGAAGTAACATTTTTTATTTCCTTCAAGAATTTGTTCTTTGTATTCACAACTTGGCTAATGTTTGATGCAAAAGGCCTAGCTTTTGGCCTATCTTGGCTTTCAACATTCCTTCCTCACTAAGCTTCATCATTTCTAGCTTTTGATTTAAAGTGAGAGGTATGTGACTTCTTTTCATCATTGTAGGGATATTAATTGGCCTAATAATTTCAATATTATTGTGTCTCAGGGAATAGGGAGCCTGAGGAGAGGAACAGCTGGTCAATGGAGCTATCAGAACATACACAATATTTATCTATTAAGTTCACCATCTTATATTGATACAATTCATGGCACCACAATACTGTTATAATAATAACGCCAGAAGATTGCTGATCACAGATCACCATAAAAGGTATAATAATAATGAAGAAGTTTGAAATATTATGAGAATTACCAAAATGTGACACAGAGATATGAAATGAGTATATGCTGTTAGAAAAATGGTGCCAATAGACTTACTCAACAGAGTTATCACAAACCTTCAATTTGTAAAAAGCTCAATAAAGCAAAGCACAGTAAAATGAAGTATGATTGTACTAATTACTTTAGTAAGAAAATATACTACCAATTCTTAAAAGATATTTACATATTTTTATATTGTCTAGAGCTGTTCAATTTTGTTATAGGACACATGTTCTCGATGTCTAATATCTATTTACACAACAGACCAAGTTGAGTTTAAGGAACTTGACAATCTAAGTTGACACTAGCATTCTTAGGTTTCTAAATGTATGTTTTAGTCGTCTTTGGAACTTAAAATATATTCCTTTTTTAAAAAATATGATTCGCCTTCACACATCAAAAGATCATGAGTACAAGCTAGATTATTAGGATCTTTAAACCCTCTAATTATGCTTAGAGTTTTATAGACTTAATTTTTTTTATCATCTGGGATTCAACTGTGGCTCATGATTCATCATTTGGGGGTCTTAATTTAAGAACCTAGCATGTTAAGAAAGCTATTTTTAAACAAGGATTTATGTGAACTCCCCTAAGTAGGATAGAAGCTCCTAATTTAGACCTCCATTTTTGTTTGTGTTGCTCACGGGACTCATTAAAGGAAGTCTCTGCTTTGATACTATTTTTCCTGCTTCATAGAAATAAAAACATAGGGTGGAGATTTTTTGATTTTGATTTACTTTTTAATATTGGTCAATTTTTCAAAGATAAAAGCCCAGCAGTCTTCTATGTGCACTGAATCTAATCCATAAGAAACAGATGTATCACAGGATTTCCTTCCTGCCTTCTTAACAGAGAAAGGAAGGTACCGCTTCTGTCAGATCCAATCTCGTAGTTTATTTTTCCTCCTTTGAACCAATTGTGCCGAGCTGCTTCATGTTTCTGAGTATTGACTCCAAGACTACCAAACTTTTCCTTTGTAACCCTAATATTGCAATTTAAAGCAATATTTTCTAGATGCTTGGTATAAAAGAAGGTTTCTAATGGTCTTGGAACTATCCTTGAATCACCTGATTCAGCAGCATCAAAGGGATACATACACAAGCGTTATAAAATTCTAGAATGTTTAGATTGAAAAGGCCCCCAGTAGGATTGTATTCTAGGCTAGCATTCACAGAGAGGCCTGATTTCTTAGAGCTTTCCTAAGGAACGTTGGGAAATCTCAGCCCAATTCCTGAAATTGGCAAATACCCTCAACGGCAAATTGGCTTTATCTGTCCATGTAGTATAGGTTCTAATTTTCACTTAGATTTTGGCCTACCACTTCCTTATAATCCCGTCAGCTCTTCAATGTCATATTACCAGAAGCAGAACACCATTTATTCTTGGTGGGGTGAGGAGTGTTTTTTATTATAAGCAATTCAAACACAAAAAGATTACAGAAAATATGAGAGATGTGTATATCCTCACCAGTATCAGATAAATGCTAACTTTTTGCCTAATTAGATTCCAACATCTCTCTTTCAGCTGAGATAGACAGTTGACTATTTCAGCTATTACAATGTCACACCGCGCCTCCTTGTACATGTCTCCTTGGGCACCTATGCAAGAGGGACAGCTAGAGGAAGGGCTCTATTTGCAGTATCTTAATAATTTTTCTTAAATTCACACAATGTAATACTCTAAAGAAATAAAAATAAATTAGCTAAATCTACATACATCAACATAGATAAACCTCAAAAACATAATAAGCGAGAAAAGAAAATTAGGAAAAAACATGTAGTATCATACCATTCTATAAACATTTTAAATATACAAAGCAATAATATATGTTGTCTGTGGTTGCATGTATTCATAGTAAAGAAAATAAAACTATCCATGGCATACTTGTAGTGGTGGAAACCAGTTCAAACCAAATCACCACACCCTGGCTTATTCCTTTCCACCATGTGGCTGCTGTCTCAGTGTGTACGGAGTGGGTATCCACAATTGTGGAATCTTCTTTGTGTCCATACTGACAAATGCACAGCTTGAGATTTGCTCTTGTTGAAATTCATTGGCTATCCTAGAGGTCAATTTTCTTCAATTTAGTGCTTTTAATTTATAGTACATGGCCAGAATAAATCAAATCATTGTCCTCTAATGTCTGTTTGGTTATTTACTATATACTCGTTCCATGTTCTTCAGTATGAAATCTGCTATTCTTTCTCAATGAGATTTTAGATTATTGTTTTGTTTATTATATTGACTGCTACAAAACCGATCCTAAAGTTTAGTTTACAACTCTGCCTTGACAGTCTCTAGACTGAAACCCACCTATATGAAGTATTGCAGTTCATATTATAACTGGCTCTAAAACTTTGCTTTTTTTAATGAGAAAAATGGCACCAGCTACTTCTATGCTTATTGAAGAGATGAGGCTTATTCAGGACTTTTCCCTGCACCCTCCAAGTAGGTACTTAATCTAAAAGGATCTTGTGAGATCTCCATTCTTAGAGATCATTAAAATAGATTAGAAGATTATCAATCATAATCATTATGCCAATGATTATGGCATAATGTAGCTGGAGGCAGAGTTTGAGTAAATGGATTCCTGAGACGTTTTTGAGTTCTAAGATTCTAGAAGTCCAGCCCTTGCTTAAAAGGGTTTAAAGAATGTTTGTTTAGGTCCTAGATGGATAATATTATTTGCAATACATTTTTTAATGGCTTTTCTCTTTACTGCTAACATGATGGGTTATCGAAGAATGTTAACATATAAAGTTTCATATATCATGTTCTGAGTTGTATCAGTAGCAAGCACTAAAGAATTTTTTGACCTTTTATTTTCAGGTGTAAACGTCCTACTTTGGGGCAACTTGCCAGAAATAGAAGAGAATACAGATGAAGATCTGTTAGATATCTCAGCAGAGGAGTGTATTAGATGAATGGAATTATGATACATATAATATTCAAACTTTTCTATTTAAAAATATATTAATGGATCAACTTTAAAATCGATAGTAACGGTTTGCCAGTGATTTCTTTCTTTGGAAAACAAAAATGGGGCATTTGCTGATTTATTTATTTGCTGTCTCAAATTAATTACCTCAGTTTAATTTAAGCCAATGGAATTGTTCTTTTCTTCTACTTCTCCCTGTCCCCTACCCTTTTGCCTAGTATAGGTATATTCCTAAATTCAGCTAGGAAAAGATTCTTTCACATGTCACTCAGCTACCTCCCAATCTGGGGGAGTTTTTCTTACAACTTGATGCCAGATACCATTAATTTTACATTCTTGAATAAAGGGCATTAGTACCCACACATATATCAACCACGTGTATAACAGGCATGTATCAACTGAGTATTAATAAGGGATTTTAAAAAATGGGCTGTTTGGTTTCCATGGGTACTGGTTCTCATATGTTATATTGGCAATAACTGCTTTAATATGTAGCAAGACTTTGTGAATCAGCAAATACAGTAAATTAAAACTTTAAAATATGTGGAGGAATCCTCTTGATTCCTCAGCATGATCTTAGATAAATGAGTTTGTCAGAAAATTATCAATCTATACTGTCTATCAATGTTATTTATTTACATTCTTCTAAAGCCATTATGGATATTGTATTATGAAAGCCAGATAAACTCAAACTCTGTCTTTAAGTTATCCAGTTCTCTAGGGCTTTCTCTGTAAATAGCAAACTTTCGATGAGTAGTCTCAGTCCCAACTCTTAAATAGAAAAAAACTAAAGTGGTTTGCTTAAGCCATTATACATTATAAAGAGCTATTTTGTCTTGTTTTGTTTTGGTGTTTTCAGAGCCGCATTCAGAGCCACACAGGAATAGGAAACTGGGATAATGTTGGATTCTGTTTTTATGTAAAGCTAAAATAAATGTATCTCTTTTAATATCTCAGTTGTAGGTATTTTGTCAATAGTGATACTAAAGCAGACTGAGTTGAAGTTTTGTAAATAAAGTTTGTTCTAAAAATGACCATTTTTCCTTTAATTTTTTATTATACTCACATATCTAAAAATATAGTTATAGTATATAAAGTATAGAATTATTTTATTTATTTATTTATTTATTTATTTATTTTTGAGTCAGAGTCTCGCTTTGTTGCCCAGGCTAGAGTGAGTGCCGCGGCATCAGCCCAGCTCACAGCAACCTCAATCTCCTGGGCTCAAGCAATCCTTCTGCCTCAGGCTCCCGAGTAGCTGGGACTACAGGCATGCAGGCATGCGCCACCATGCCCGGCTAATTTTTTCTATATATATTAAGTTGGCCAATTAATTTCTTTCTATTTATAGTAGAGACAGGGTCTCGCTCTTGCTCAGGCTGGTTTCGAACTCCTGATCTTGAGCAATCCGCCTTCCTTGGTCTCCCAGAGTGCTAGGATTACAGACGTGAGCCACCGTGCCCGGCTTAAAGTATAGAATTATTAATATAAGGCTAATGTTTATTGAATACTTACTATGTGCCAGACACTGTTCTAAGTGCTTTATGCATTTAACTCACTCCATACAACAAACCCAGAGGTAGGTACCATTACTATTCCTTTTTTTACTGATAAGACTGGTGAAACAGAGATGTGAAGTAACTTGTCTAAAGTCACATAACCGGTCAGAGGTATGGCCACATTCAAACAGCAGACAGACTGACTCCAGAGCTCCCACTCCTAATCTTTACGCTATACCCCTGACCACCTCCACACATGAATTATGATCTCACTTAGCCAGGATAGGTGCTGGGTAACTAACTACATTGTTTTGTACCCTAGGTGAGGACAGAATTTGATTTGAAGATTGAACCAACCCATACCGGTCTTAGGGTAAAAGTGTCCTGAAGGCATTAAAACAGCCATTTGCTGTAAACCAAGACAAAAGGTGCTTCAGGAAAAGCTGTTGCTCCCACCTGGAAAACTTTTCCAAAAGCCTTTCACTCTTACCATCAACACTAACAGATAGCCGTCAAAAGAACCAAAGGAATGATTGAGGAACAATTTATTTTCAGATTTTTTTTTAACCTCTCTTAAATTCTTTCTGGAACAAGGTGGGTACAATGAATAAGAGGAAAAAATATATATACTTCTTGGGTTAATTTGTTCAATTAGAGAAGAATAGTTTAATGCTGGAGTAAGGAATGTGGCAAGTTTAAAATTCAATAGAGTTCATCTGGTTTCCGTTCAGCTCATGCCTTCAAAGGCTATGGTTGACTGAGGGGCTCTTTGAAGAGCAAAAGCAAGACAGAGGTGTGCTGGGTGAAGCAAACCCCAAATATGATCCCACTCCAGCTGGAAAATATTTCAAGTTATTCAGCTACCTTTAGCTAACTGGGTTATGGGAAAGCCAATTTTAAGCATATAATAAATTAATAAAGTTTTATCTAGAGAAATATATTCATGATGCTGTTTTTTTGGTTTGGTTTTTTTTTTTTTTTTTTTTTTTTAAGACAGGGTCTTGCTCTGTCACCCCAGCTAGAATACAGTGGCATCATCATAGCTCACTGCATCCTCAAACTCCTCCTGCCTCAGCCTCCTCCGAGCTCAAACAATCCTCTTGCGTCAGCCTCCCAAGTAGGGGGGACTACAGGCATGTGCCACCATGCCTGGCTAAATTTTCTGTTTTTGGTAGAGATAGTGTCTTGCTCTTGCTCAGGCTGGTCTCAAACTCCTGACCTAAAGCAATCTTCCCACCTTGGCCCCCCAAAGTGCTAGGCTTACAGGCACTTTTACTGCTTTCTAATAAAAACAAATTATATACACTCTGGTTTAAGACCAAAACAGAATCACATATGTGGATTTAGTATACGTTTTCTAGCCTTAGCATAATTCCTTGGCCTAGAAAACCCATCTATGTTTTGATCCTCTTTTAAAATTTGATGCAATTCTATAAGCCTGTATTATTCTCCCATAGTGTGGCAAGAATTGCACAATGACATGTTCATACTTCAGAGAGTACACAGTGAGTTGGAGAAAGGATAGAATCCTACAAGTCTGTCTAATTCATCGGGTCAAGTGATTTAACAAAGCATCTTAAAGCGCTATGACTCCATAGATGAAAGAGTAATCATTCTGAGTAGTAGGAGAGAGCGGGAGTTGAGAAAGCTACTGAGAAGAAATGAGACTTGCTCAGGCTTTGATGGACAGGAGTTTGCCAACTCAGATGAGAGTTTTGGGCAGACAGAATAGTGTAAGCAAATGGATGGGGGTTTAAAAGTATCTTGCCTATTTGGGAAATTATATGTCGTCCCCCATACCTCCCAAAATATGTAATAAGAATTAATTAGAAGATGGCAATAACAAGGAAGGTTAAGATCATGGTTAGGAAGGTTAAGAAGGGTGTTATGCCATTATAAACTTAGACTTGATCCGGTGGTGATGTGGAGTTATTGAAGTTTTTAAGCAGGAGAATAAAATGATCAGATTTAGGGCGATAGCTCTGATGATAAAGTGTAATCCACTTTAGTTTTCCAAACATCCTTTCTTTGATGCACTTAACAACTTGACCGTGGAAATTATGTTTGCTGTCTTTACCCTAAGAACCCATGTAGTTCTTTAAGTTCCCTGGGTTTCTTGTCTTTCATGGAACCTCTGGTCTGCAATTGGGCACTTTTTTTCCTTTTCCACCCTGACATTCCTGAAGTTCAAGGAAAGGGCAGTGAGTCATCAGCTCACGCCCCATAGCCTTTTCTGCTATTTTATCTTTTTCCTCAACCCAGTTTCTCAACCTCAAAGTCCAGCTCTGGTGAGGCATCTTGGGGCCTAATCTTAAAGCCATAATATTTTGAATAATCGATGGCTCTGAAAACCAGGTCTTTAAATAGTAATTTAGGGAGATTGCCCTATAAAGAACTGCTCTTTTGATCTCTGAATCACATTGGCTTATTAAGAATAATGTATGTTGCTTCCTTTGGTGAGGAGGAAGTGACCACGACATATAGACCATAATCTAGAAAATTAATCAGAACACAAATAGGGAGTGAGGGAAGGTAAGTGAGAATACGGATCAAATAGTTTCCCTTCAGTGGTGAATTACTCGATAAAGTCTTTCCCTATTTTAACATTCATGCTTATAAAAGGAAAGTTTCCTTTTCTGCCTTTTTTTTTTTAATTTTAAAAGCAGCCTAAAACATAGTTTCTTTCTTGCCTGGTATTGAGCAAATGCCAAATCTACCCTAAACTGCACAGATGGAAAAAATTAGTCTATGTCTGTGGTACCTCTGGGGTTGAATATTTTTAGTACTTAAATCTTTAGCTAAAGATTCTTTCTTCCAGCACTCTCAAAGAATCATTTTATTGTCATCCAATGGATAAATTTACTGAGATAGAAATTATTAATAACAATATCATGTTTTTATTTAACCCTTTATAATTTATTGAGAGTTTTAACATATACTTTAATCCTCAGAATAATCTTGGGAGCTATCATTCCCATTTTACAAATTAAAAAATAAAATCTTAGTCACAATACCCAGAGAGTTAGAAGCATCTAAACCTTAATCTGGATCTTCTCATCTTAATTTAGGGTTTCCTCCCACTTCCCTAAGTGACCCTAAATTAAGGTCTATTTTCCTTCACTTAGGATTAATTTTCTTTGACTTTCAACCTCAAAGCCCAATTACTTTCATTCATTAATCCATTCAACACATATTTATTGAATGCCTGCTATATGGACAAAATAGATGCTGGGGATATAGGACTAAAAAAGACAAAATTTCTGCTGTCACATGGAGCTGACATTCTAGTTGAGGGTAAGGAAGAAAGTTAACATTGATTATTTTCTGTGTGCCAGGCATTGTTCTAAGTGCTTTACATGTAACTGCTGACAGATGGATCCTATTAACATCCTGGCGATATAGATCAGGAAACTGAGGCATAGAGAGGTTAAGGAACTTGTCCACAGTCACAGGGCTAGTAGACGATACCACTCTAAGATTTGGAGGGACCAAAATTAATTAGCTTAATGGCTGTGCTTCCTTTTTATTTTCCAGTGTAGTTATCTTCCATCCTAATAAAGTCACGTTTTCCATTAGCAATCTTCCTGTACTCCTCTTTCCCTATTAGACCTTTGTTGATTTTTGTTTTATTTTACTTTAAAAAAAATTTAAGAGATGGGGGGAGGTCTCACTATGTTGCCCAGGCTGGTCTTGAACTTGTTTTCAAGGATCCTCCCTCCTCAGCCTCCCAAGGCACTGAGATTACAGGCATGACCGCACTGAGCTGAGTTTTGTTTTAAATTGAGATGGGAACAACATCTCCCTTTTCAGTAATGGAGACTCGGTTTACCTGTGAACAATAAGAATGCTAGTCTTATACACTATGGAGAAAGGAAAAAAAATTACGCAAAACTCTTAATTTCTAATTTTGTTGTTCTTCTATCTGGAAACAAAGTCTTTTTTCACTAGTCTAGACTTTTATAAACAATAAAAGTTCACAAGAAAGTAAATAAGTTTTTAAAGCTGTTTGTCTCAAATATCTCATAATAAAAAGTGAATTAAATGACTACCTTTTGCAAATTGCTCTAATCTCAGCCTTCCTTCTAAGCTTGAATTTAAAATCTATTTATATGGAATTTCAGAAGCAGCCTTTTCTTAAATGAGCACCACTGAATCTTCATAACAAGATTATGTATTTCTTATGAGGAAAGCAAAAACAGGTAAAAAATTTTGCATTTGGAGACTTATACAAGAGTGGGTTGATAAATAGCAAACAATTAATTGAATCTGCCAAATATGGGCATAATTGAACTTTGCCCACCAAAATGCCTCTCTACACTTCCGTTCACACAAATCACTTCCTCTGGAAGGGCGCCCATGGTAAAAGTAGGCATATGGGAATGATTCACTTGGGGAAAGTTGTACCCAGAATATCAAAACAGTTTGCTTTCTGTCTCTATCCTTGCCATAATTTTTCTACCCAAAGGAACCACCTGCTATTATGGCCGTGACACCTGAAAAGCTTTCTGGATATTTCGGGAGATTGCTCATGCGTGGGTGGATTTTCAGGCTGTTCCATGGTATTTTAAAAAATGTTTCTTTGGGGAAAATATTCTCAGAGACTGG